TGGCAAGAAATTATCAAAGTGATGAAAAGCAAGGACCTACAACCAAGATTGCTCTACCCAGCAAAGCTATTATTTAGAATTGAAAGTCAGATAAAGAGCTTTCCAGACAAGAAATAGCTGGAGTCCATTACCACCAAACCATTATTACATGAAATGTTAAGGGCTCTTCTTTAAGAAAAAAAATTAAAAGTATGTGCTCATAAAATGGCAGTAAATACATATTTATCAATAACTGACCCTAAAAATAAAAATAAATGAACAAGCAGAACAGGAACAAACTTATTTACAGAGAACATTTTTACAGTAGCCAGAAGGGAGGGGGGTTGGGGGAATGGGTGAAAAAGGTGGAGGATTTAGAAGTACAAATTAGTAGTTATAGTATAGTCATGGGGGTATAAAATACAGCATAGGGAATATAGTCAATAATATTCTAATAACTATGTATGGTGTCAGATGGGTATAAGTTTTGGGGGGATGACCACTTAATAAGTTTTATAATATCTAATCACTGGAGTATACACCTGGAACACATTATTGTCAGCTGTAATTAAAAAATAGAAAGTGTTGATTTTTTTGAAATGTGTTCTCTTCCTTTAGTCTTAAGAAGTTTGGAGTATCTCAGACGAGAGGCATGGCCATGGGAAAGGGAGATAGCATGGGAACGGGAAGCACGAAGTAGGGCAAAATGAGGGTTTCATGTAGGGAATAAGGAAACTGTTGAGCTGGGGAAAAAAGAGAGAGAGAGGGAGAAGAAAAGAAAGGGAGGGGAGGGGAGAGAGAGAGAGAGAAAAGGAAGGAAGGAAGGGAGGGAGGGAGGGAGGGAGGGAGGGAGGGAGGGAGGGAGGGAGGGAAAGGAAAAGAAAAAAGAAAGACAGTCCTGTGACAATAAATACTTAAAGAATGTCCTGTGTGGCTGGCAAACTGATTCTGAAGACAAGTCTAAAATAAGGTTTCATAAACTTTTGAAATGACCACAACAGTGAAACTAGCCTATAGTCTTCTAAAGTAACTTGGAAAGTGTTGAAGAATAAAGCTATTCATGACACTTGTTAAAGAATATCTGCAAGACCTTATTTATTCAGGACTGTCACAATAGTAGAGGCACCACTGCAGTGGGATTTTAGTGGGGGATAAAAGATTGAGCTCATCTCCAAATATAGAGTGGACAAGTGGGAATTTATAGCCACTGAGCAGAGTGACAGTCAGTAGATGGAAAATTAATAAGAGAAAGCACCAGGGGTAAGATGGGGGTGGGGGGTGGTTCTGGCTAAATCTACCAAACAGGATTTTTGCTGAAGACAGGCCAGGGTGAACACACATCACCTATAGGATGGTAAAGGGTGAGGAACTGATCAGATATCAAAGGTGAATTTTACGAACATTCAAAAAAAGAACTAACACCTATCCTTCTCAAACTATTCCAAAAAATTCAAGAGGAGGAAGGATTCCCAAGCTCATTTTACGAGGCCAGCATTATCCTAATTTCAAAACCAAATAAAGACACTACAAAGAAAGAAAATTAAAGGCTAATATCCCTGATGAACATAGATGCTAAAATCCTTAACAAAATATTACCAAACTGCCCTGACCAGTTTGGCCCACGGAATGAAGGGTCTTCACGGAATGAAGGGTCTTGGGTTCAATTCCCACCCAAGGGCAGGTGCCTGGATTGCAGGTTCGATCCCTGGCCCTGGTCGGGGTCATGCGGGAGGCAAACGATTGGTGTGTCTCTTTCACATGGATGTCTCTCTCTCTCTCTCTCTCTCTCTCTCTCTCTCTCTCTCCCTCCCTCCCTCCCTCCCTCCCTCCCTCCCACTTTATCTGAAAGTCAATCGATGGAAAAATATCCTCAGGTAAAGATTAACAACAAAAATTAGCCAACCAGATCCAATACATTAAAAAGATCATACACTACGATCAAATGGGATTTATTCCAGAGATGCAAAGTTGGTACAATATCCACAAATCAATAAACGTGATATACCACATAAAATAAAGAATAGAAATTACATGATCATATTAATAGATGCGGAAAAAGCATTTAATAAAATCCAGCCCCCACTTATGGTAAACTCTCAGCAAAGTGGAAATAAATGGGATATACGTCAATGTTATAAAGGTCATATATGACAAACCCACAACCAACATCATACTAAATGCACAAAACTACAAGTGTTTCCCTTGAGATACAGAACAAGACAGGGATGTCCACTTTTGCCACCCTTATTCAACATAGTACTGGAATTGGAAGTCCTATCCACAGCAATCAGACAAGAAGTAGAAATAAAAGTCATCCAAATTGAAAAAGAAGAATCAAAACTGTCATTATTTGCATATGATATAATACTCTATATATATAGAACCCTAAAGACTCTACCAAAAAACTACTAGAACTGGTCCTGGCCAGTTGCTCAGTGGTTAGAGCATCAGCCAGCAGACCAAAGAGTCATGGGTTCCATTCCCAGTCAAGGGCATGTACCTGGGTTCCAGGTTTGATCTCCAGCCCCAGTCAAGGTATGTGCAGGAGGCAAGCAATCAATGTGTCTCTCTCACATCAGTGTCTCTCTCTCTCTCTCTCTTTCCCCTACCTCCCTTCTACTCTCTCTAAAAAAAAATCAATGGAAAAAATATCCTCAAGTGAGGATTAACAACAACAACAAAACTACTAGAACTGATAAGTGAATTCAGTAAAGTTAGCAGGGTACAAAATGAATATCCAGAAATCAGTTGCATTTATACATTAATATTGAACTATGAGAAAGGGAAACTAAGAAAACAATTCCATTCACAATTAGTTAACTTAACCAATGATGTAAAAGACGTGTACTTGGAAAATTATAAAACACCGAAGAAAGAAATTGAAGATGATACTAGTAAGTGGAAGTATATACCATTTTCATAGATAGGAAGAATTAACCTCATTAAAATGTCATGCTACCCAAAGCAATCTACAGATTCAACACAATTCCTATCGAAATACCAATGGCATATTTCACAGAACTGGAACAAATATTTCAAAAATCTATGTGGAACTACAAAAGACCCTGAATAGCCACAGCAGTTTTGAGAAAGAAGAGCAAAGTTAGGAGAATCATACTACCTAATGTCAAACTATACCACAAGGCCATAGTAATCAAAACAGCATGGTACTGGCATAAAAACAAACATATAGATCAATGGAACAGAATAGAGAGCCCAGAAATAAACCCACCCCTTTATGGTCAATTGATATTTGACAAAGGAGGCAAAAACATACAATGGGATAAAAATAGTCTATTCAATAAGTGGTGTTGGAAAAATTGAACAGATACATGCAAAAGAATGAAGCTAGACCCCCTTATTATACCATACACAGAATAAATTCAAAATGAATTAACCACTTAAATGTTAGACTCAAAATCATAAAACCCTAAAACTTAGGCAGTAAAATCCCTGACATTTCTCGTAGCAATATTATTTTCTGATCTATCACTTAGGGCAAGGGAAACAAAAGAAAAAATAAACAAATGGGACTAAATCAAAAGAAATTTTTGCATAGGAAAGTAAACCATCAATAAAATGAAAGGACAACCCACTGAGTGGAAGAACGTATTTGCCAATGATGCATCTGATAAGGGGTTAATAGCCAAACAAGATAGAGACAGACTCATAGAGAACAGACTGACAACTGTTAGAGGGGAAAGGGGGTGTGGGGCTGGATGAAAAAGGTGAAGGGATTAAGCAAAGAAAAACAAAAAATTCATAGACAGATAACAGTATGGTGATTACCAAAGGGGAAGATGGGTGTGCATGGAGGTAGAAGAGAGTATAGGGTGGGATAAATGATGATGGAAGGAGACTTGACTTGGGGTGGTGAAGACACAATACAATATACAGATGACATATTACAGAAGTGTACACCTGAAACGTATATAATTTTATTAACCAATGTCACCCCAATAAATTCAATAAAAAAATAAAAAAATAAAATCTTTGTCAGCAGACAAGTTTTAATTTAAATCCTTAAGTTCTAGTAAACTTGTTCAAAAAAGCATTATCATTCACTTATAATCATTAGTCAACATTACTCTTCAAAAAAATGGCTAATAAAAGAAAAACAATGCTACATGGTTATAACCAAGCTTAAACTTGAAAGGAAGAAGCTTCATTTCTGAATTTAGGTTCAGGCTGTTTTAGCACCACTCAAGAAAAGCCATGAAGGTGTTTGACATTACCAAGGAATATTATGGACAGCAATAAAAACTGTAATGGATAGTTCTTCCTTTTAAGGAAATATGTGCAACTTACAAAATGTCACATTCCAAAGCAAAGTTGCTACACAGAAAAACTGCTTCTTTCAACTTGACTAATGCTGCCTGTGCTGCCATATAGAACATTCCAGGCACTCCTAGGAGGTGAACCTGTATCAATTTCTTTAAAAAAAAAAAATCAGTCCTAAAAACTAGCTCCTTAAAAGTTGCAAGATATTATGACACTCTACTAAAATCAAATACAGATGACACCCCTGTTAAATACTACTTGAGCTATGCTTATATCTTATGTAGATACACCAGTGAAAAAGAATAGAAATATTTGGGTGCAAATGTTTTATTTACATACTTATGTAAATACTTATTTTCTTCAATGGAATGCTTATTGTAATACAGAATAAAATTGTTTTTTTCTCCTCTCAATTGGTATTGGTAAATTTTTTGTTTTGGTTTTTACATACATAGGAAAACATCTTTATAACAAGTTTTATAATTAAAGCAGATACTCTGGGATTCAGTTACACTCTATGCTCATTAAAAGTGTCAGCAAATGGATAAAAATATTACTGAAAATCATACTACACATTAAACCACATTTCCCCCTTGCGTGTCATTGTTAGCATTGGAAGAAAAAAATGGTGATAATTACTGCAGAAACTCAATAGATATAATTTAATATTATGTATAAATATATTTTATACTTACACAATTGTATAATTTGTTATAAAAGTAAAAAAATATGGATGGTAAACATAGTCTTCACTGATTCCTTGATTATTTAATTTATGCTTGCTTTCCAAGTTTTATGCTCTATGATTTATAAGGTAATGTTTTCTCTGATCTTTTCTATAAAAACTTTATTATCACTTCCAGGACATGATTGGAATCAATGATTATTGTGGGTTTTTGTTTGGAATTGATTATCTTTTTATGGAAATCTACTCTTTTCAATATCATTCTAATTCTTGGATTTCTCCTCACCATGAAATCTCTAGTATTTAATAAGATTTATTTAATATCTAAGGCTCTCTATATTCATAAAGTGAATATTATGTATGAATTTTTTGATGTACAATAAGATTTGACTTCTGGGAAAATGCTTTCCCACATTTGTTACATTCATAGGGCTTTTCTCCTGTGTGAGTTATCTGATGTCTAAGGAGATGAGACTTCTTGATGAAGGCTTTGCCACATTCAATACATCCATAAGGTTTTTCTCCTGTGTGAATTCTTTGATGCGTAACAAGCACAGATGCGTTGCCAAAGGCTTTGCCACATACAATACAATGGTAGGGTTTCTCTCCTGTATGAAATCTAGAATGTTTATAAAGGGATGAACTATACCTGAAGGTTTTCCCACATTCCTTACATTCAAATGAGTTCTCCAGTGTATGAGATTTCACATGTTGAGTAAAGGAGGAGTTCCACGTGAATGACTTCCCACACTGACTGCATTCATAAGGTTTCTCTCCAGTGTGAAGTCTCTGGTGGACCACGAGCTGTGTTTTATGCATAAAAGCTTTCCCACAATCACTGCACACAAAGGGTCTCTCTCCATTATGAATTTTCTGATGAGTTGCAAGGTTTGACTTCCTGCTATAGGCTTTCCCACAATCACTGCACACAAAGGGTCTCTCTCCATTATGAATTTTCTGATGAGTTTCAAGGTGTGCCTTCCTGCTATAGGCTTTCCCACAATCATTGCATTCAAAGGGCTTTTTCCTTGTATGATTTTTTTCATGTCTAATTAAATGAAACTTCTTTTTGAAAGCTCTCTCACAGTCCTTGCATTCATGAGGGTTTTCTCCGTTATAACATCTATTATAATTAAGTAAGTCTAAAGTAGGTTGCAAACTCTTCCCATATGATTTGCATTTATATGATACTTTTCTTGCATTTATATGATTTTTTCCAATATGACTTGTGCTCATATTATACCCATGGAGTGTCTCCATGGTCAGAATTTTATTGAATACGAACATAGCTGAATTCAAAAAACTGTCTTCGCTTTCCTGGTGCTTCTCTGATTCATCAACAAATGGGCAGTCAGCTTCTAAAAAGGAGTACAATAAAACATTCCTAGTTAAATTTTTCTATCAACAGTTACAGAAAGAAACTTATAAAACTTCAAATCTAGTTTCTCATTTTGAAACAAATCCTGTATTTGCCTTGCTCCTGAGCTTTAAGAATAAAACTCTGAAGAGGAAATGGGAGCAGATGAATAACAACAATGAGAATAGATGGCTTAACTTGTGATGTGTGGAAATACAGTAAAATAGGCACAAGGTACAGTGGGTAGGGTACAAAGGAAGTCAAAGGATGTTCAACAAGGGTACATGGTTAGCTCACAGAATGAAGAGAGCCCATTGTGAAGATCTGATTAATGGACAGGGTAGCCAGGGGAACAAAAGACAAGGGAATTAAGGACAATTATCAGAGGAAATAATAGATTTGGAGGCCAATCAGAAGCAGTCCTCACTACCTAAATTCTAGATTACCCTATTAGGATAGCTCCCTATTGCCCTCATTCATCTCTCTTTTGCTTCTTAATCACCTGACACAATGTCAGTTCCCTTCAGGAACATTCTTATATCACCAGTCCTCTAACTCCATCCAAACCACAACTGAGAAATATCTATAGCCAAGGCTCCAACCTGACTACAGCTGGGATTCATTTTCCCATGTACTTACTTGTAAGCCCAGGAACACAAATGTCCAAACAGGTCATTGGAGTTATCCTTGGGCTAAGTTATCCTTAGCCCAAGCACAGATTCTGTCTGCATGCTATCATTTTTATTCTGGCTGAGTTTCTATACATGAAAACTATTTGTATTTGACAAAAACTGTTTTTACATCCTCTTTCAATCTGCCTAAGAAACTAATCCCCAGAAAGCTGCGTTGGTCCTGAAGTCACACTTTTCTATGCCTATCCTCAAAACCCCATAAATCCCAAATCCATCACTCCATTAAAAAAAAAAAGACAAAAGACCAAAAAAAAGAAAGAGGAGGTTGTAATTCCATTTCTGAAACTCCTTCCATGTGGAGTTTTATCTTTCTTTCTGGAGCTAGATTGAGTAGCGGGCTACAGACATTAATATGTGTCATCAGGGAGTGGTTCTAAGTATGGGTACAGGGTTTCTGTCTTCTCTCCTCTCACTTCAACCAATGGGAAGCAGATCTCATGTCACCTCAACCAACAGTAACCAACTAAAAATTCCAGGGTAATTATTAGCCTGGTGAACAAACTATGCAAAATAATGAATTTGCTCATTGTATATAAGCATGCATTCCTCTAGTCCTCAACAAATACCTTTTGTTCCAAGGATTCTAGACTCTAAAAAACTACAATCTTTTGCTTATGATCCTTCCCCATCGTAACTTGCCCTCTTTCATCCCCTCCCATCCTATCTAGCACTTAGATATCTTTAAGGAGAAGCCAATATTCCATGATCTCAAAAAGAAACTCCTCCAATCCTTGCATGCTTTAAATTTTAAGCTCCATTTTCTCTAAGATAATCACTGCTGCTGCCTAAATCATACATTTTGACAATTAACTAGAACAAAACTGCAATGTTATCGTGCACTGAACAAATATTCCACACTCATCAACTTATATTTTATATGATTATGTTTTGCCTTTTCAGCTAAAATTTACACACCTGGAAAAAGGTAATTTTTTTTCCTTCTTTCTTTCTTTGAATGTTTTTCAGGCAACAACAAAAAGCCTCCTTAAAAGAAAGACTAAGAAACATCCCCACAATGCCTGACTTTACAATAAATTAATGAAATGTTTACTGAATACCCATGATGTGCTCAACAATGGCATAAGAAAAAAATGATATAGGTCTTTCTCTTCAGGGTGTTATCATAAGAAAACATGACTTAAAAGCCATAGGGTTTTTTAAAAATCTAAGGCAGTATTTGTCAAGTTTTTATAATAGAGCCATATTAGAGTTGGGATAGGAGTTCAAAGAAGGGAGAAATTAATCTAGGCTAGAGTTACCATAAAAGAGAAAACTGAATTCAGATTTAATAGCATGCTGGTTTTAGTTAGGTGGAGCCCATCAGAATCAAAAGCACTGATGCAGAGAAGAAAACTGTGTACAGAGGACGCTAAAGAAACCAATTGCCATGGAATAGGGAAAAGATGGACAATTCTGGATAAACAAAATGGAATCACATTATACAGGGCTTTAAAAACCATTTAATATCACAATACAGGGTATAAAGTAAAGTGACATGAAAATTGAATAATCTGAATAAATCTTGCAGGGACATCTAAGATAAACCAAAAAATTTAAAAGAATTTGCAATATAGAAATATAAACAGCCTAGACATCATATTAGGAGTTAAAATTAATTTGGTTTATGTAATAAGTTGAAGTCCTAGGTAATCTAAAATACACTTATTTTTTTAATTAATTTATTTTTGTTACAGATGTTTCTCCTTTTTTCCCCACTGACACCCTCCTCCCTACCCCCTCCTACCCCATCCCCAGATTTGTTGTCCATGTCCATTGGTTATGGTACATGTATATAAGTTATGTGGTTTATCTCTTCCCTCCCTCCCCACCCCCTCTTTTAAGGGTTGTCAGTCTGTACCCTACTTCCACGTCTCTGGGTCTACCCTGTTCCTCAGACTGTTATGTTCATTATATTCCACAAATAAGTGAGATCATGTGATATTTGTCTTGTTTTGCTTAGGATAATACTCTCCAGGTCCCTCCATGTCATCTCAAAGGATAAGAGATCTTTCTTTCTTACAGCTGCATAGTACTCCTTTATGTATATGTACCACAGCTTTTTTTATCCATTCATCTACTGATGGACACTTGGGCTGTTTCCAGATCTTAGCTATTGTAAATAGTGCTGCTATGAACATGGGGGTACATATATTCTTTCCGATTGGTGTTTCAGACTTCTTAGGGTATATTCCTAGAAGTGGGATCACTGGGTCAAATGGCAATTCAATTTTTAATTTTTTGAGATTAACACCATAGTGTTTTCCATAGTGGCTGCACCAGTCTGCATTCCCACCAGCAGTGTACTAGAGTTCCCTTTTCTCCACACCCCCGCCAACATTTTAATTGGTTTCTTAATCTTTTGAAACTTACTTCTTTTATGGGCTCTGTGGAAAGGGAAATTTTTATTTTGAATCTGTCTTGGATAAACCAATAGCTAAAATCATAGATGATAAGTCACAGTAGTACCTAAGGAGAACTTCTTGAGAGAAAAAAAAAATTGCTTACCACAGTGATTTTGAGACTGCAAAGCAGTAGGCCAGTTGGTATCCTTTACTGTAATATAAAGATAATGGTGAAGGTTGAAGAATATTGGTTACTAAGAAAAAACAGAGCATATAAAGCCAGATGGGATTAAAATTCAGGGACTAGGAAGTTGGTGAGGCAAAGATGCTGACCATGGCATAAAACAAATAACTTTAGTCTTTAGTGATGAAGTTCCTGAGGGAGTTACTGTGGAGAAGAGTTCAGAAGGTGAAAGGACAGGGAAGAAGCAGAAGTTGAATAAGCAGTAAGAAAAGGTGAGGGCATATTAGCAAAGAATCAATTCAGAGCTGGAGGAGAATTTCCAAATAGATTACCAATATTACCACATGAAGCAGAAAGATGAATGGAAGGTAAACACCTCAAGTTGTCAGTGAGGCTAAAGATGAGCAAAGTGGGGTACACAGGTGGGATATATGATGCAAGAAAAGGAATGCATTTTTTTAAAGGACAATAATTAGAGTGTAATGTAGCTTAAAGTTTTGAAATAAAAACAACTGACATATGCTGAACACTTATTCTCTGCCTTTATTTAAAGGACTTTGCATATATTAACTCATATAATCTTTACAAAGAAACCCAAGGTTAGGATTAATATTATCCCTTTATAAATAAAATTGTGCTATAAAGTAATTAGGTTAGACAGTGGTTGGTGGAGTAAGACTTCAAATCCACACAATGAATTAGATGTATGGAAAAGGTCTGCGATCATGTTGAGGAGGAAAGGAGCATGAAGATTTTAGGAATTAAGAGAACAAAGCAAGGACCTACATGAAGCGCGCAGTTTGAGAAGCCAGACAGGAGAGGAGAGGGACACTGCTTCGTACAAGAGCCGAGCAGAAAGAGCAGCTGTGTGGGGAGAGTGGGAGTGAAGGTGTCATTATGGGATCTGATGATGTTATATCAAGTGTACCCAGTCACTTCCATAGGTGTGTGGCTTTTAAGAGATGCTTCCTGAAAAGTATTTCAAAGGTGCCTGTCCCTCATTGACCAATTTCAAAGACTCTCATCTACCTGGTTTTCCCTCACTCACCCGGGTGGGTCCAATGTGGGTTCTCTCCCTCCACCATCTGTAGTTCTTGTCCTTGCTCCACCTTGTAGATCGTTTTTGTCTTGGTAACCGGACCCCCTGTTCATGGGAAACAACACAGAACTGGGAACAAGGTGCTAGGGACAAACAACTACCTCACAACCCAGGTCTGCCTCCTTGAGTCTCAGGGCCTGTAAAGGATGACAAACAGTCTTTAGAACAGAAAGACTCTTCTCCATTTGGGAGGTAGAAGCATAAACAGACTATCTGACCCCCAAAGGGGATGAAGAATCTTTGTTCACTAAAACTCAGGGCCAAATTCACTAAAGCTTCAGAATGTTCACAGCTTTAACAAGTCTTCAAGGAAGGGCACTATTAATACATTCTGAGTTACAATGAAAGTTACCACCCGCTGTCCTTACCCACTGAGATGAGGTTTCTAAAGTTCTCCAACATCACATCCCAATACAAGGTTCTCTGATCACAGTCAAGCAGCTGCCACTCCTCTGAGGTGAAGTCCACAGCCACATCCTGGAATGTCACTGATCCCTGTAATAGCACATTGATCTTCAAACTAATGTGTGAATCACTTGGGGACTTTCAAGAGAATCGCGTCAGCCTCTTATGTTCATTGTTGAGTTGTCAGAAAGTTATATATGATAACTACTGCTTGTCAGATTCATAAATGGACCCTGTGATAGAAACAAAAATCATATTTAAAATATTCAGCTAGTCTGGCTGGTGTGGCTCAGTGGTTGAGTGTCGACCCATGTACCAAGAGGTCGCCGGTTCGATTTCTGGTCAGGACACATGCCCAGGTTGTGGAACCGATCCCCAGTGTAGGGCATGCAGGAGGAGGCCAATTGATGTTTCTGTCTCTCTCTCCCTCTCACTTCCTCTCTCTCCAAAATCAAGAAAGGAAAAAATAATTTTTTTAAATAAAATATTCAGCTAAAAGAATTCAATGGAGAAAAATACAGTCTTTTTAACAAATAGTGTTAGGACACCAATACACACATGCAAAAAGATGAAGTTGGACACCCCTCCCACACACACCTCATGTCATATACAAAAATAAACTAAAAATGGGTGAGAGACCTAAATGTAAGAGCTAAAACTACAAATTCTAATAAGAAAACAGAAGTAAATCTTTGTGACCTTGGATTAGCCAGTGATTTCTTAATAAGACAGAAAAAGTGTAAGTGACAAAAGAAAAAATAAATAAGTTGGAATTCATCAAAATTTAAAAATTTTGTGCTTCAAAGAACACCATCAAGAAAATGAAAAGAGCCCTGGCCGGTTTGGCTCAGCGGTTAGAACATTGGCCTGCGGTCCAGAGAGATCCGGGTTCAGTTCCCGCTAAGGGCACGTACCTCAGTTGCAGTTTGTCCCCAGCCCTGGTTGGGTTGTGTGGGTGGCAGTCACTCGATGTATCTCTCTCATATCGATATTTCTCTCTCTCTCTCCCTCCCACTCTATCTGAACAAAAATGGAAAAATGTCCTCAGGTGAGGATAAAAAAAAAAAAAAGAAAGAAAGAAAATGAAAAGATGACACAGAATAGGAGGAAATATTTGCAAATCATATATCTGATGAAAAGTTTGTATGTAGAATATAGAAAGAACCCTTATAACACAACCATAAAGGGAAAACTCAATTTAAAAATAGGCAAAGGAGCCCTGGCCAGTTTGGCTTAGCGGTTAGAGTGTCAGCCTGCAGTCCAGAGAAACCCGGGTTCGGTTCCCGCTAAGGGCACGTACCCCGGTTGCGGTTTGTCCCTGGCCCTGGTTGGGTCGTGCAGGGGGCAGCCACTCGATGTGCTCCTTTCACGTCGATGTTTCTCCCTCTCTCTTTCTCTCTTTCTCCCTCCCACTCTATCTGAACAAAAAAAATGGAAGGATGTCCTCAGGTGAGGATAAAAAAAAAATAGGCAAAGGAATTGAACTGACATTTCTCCAAAGACATATATAGTCCACAGGAACGTGAAAAGATGTTCAACATCATTAGTCATTAGTAAAATGCAAATCAAAACCACAATGAGACATTACTTCACATTACTTCAATTTTAAAATGGCTAAAATTAAAGCAATGACAGGTGTTAGGAAGGATGTGGAGAAACTGGAACTCTCATACATTGCTGGTGGTATTGTAAAATTGTGCAGCAACTAAGGAAAACAGTTTGGCAGTTCCCCAAAATGTTAAACATGTAGTTACCACATGATCCAACAATTCCTCATAGGTATATACCCAAAATAATTGAAAATACACGCTCACACAAAAACCTGTGCACAAATGTTCAGAGCAGAATTATTAATAGCCAAAAAGTGAAACCAATATGGGTATTCATCAACTAATGAATGGATAAACAATATTGCACACAACAACATCTACAACACAGGTATCTACAACACAGATGAAAATATTGTGCTGGGTGAAAGAAATCAGTTACAAATGATCATATATTGTATGATTCCATTTGTATAAATTGTTCAGAATAGGCAAATTCATAGAAAAAGTAAGTGAATTAGGGCTGGAGGAAGAAGAAATGGGTATGGGGGTTTCTTTTTTTTTTTTTTAAATCCTCATTCGAGGACACCTTTCCATTTTTTTTTGTACAGACAGAGTGGGAGGGAGAGAGAGGAAGAGAGAGAGGGGGAAACATCGATGTGAAAGGGACACATCGAGTGGCTGCCACCCGCACGACCAACCAGGGCCGGGGACAAACTGCAACCGAGGTACATGCCCTTAGCGGGAACCAAACCCGGGCCTCTCCGGACCGCAGGCAGACGCTCTAACCGCTGAGCCAAACCGGCCAGGGCGGGTATGGGGTTTCTTTTGAGAGTAATGAAATGTTCTGAAATTAGATAGTGGTGATGGTTTCACAATTCCATGAATATAATGAAACCAGTGAATTATATATATACTTTAAACAGGTCAATTTGTAATATGCAGATTATATCTCAATAAAATTATTTTAAAATATTGCTTATATATTCTTCATTCACACCTTCATAAAATATTCAATGAGGACCAGATACTGTACTAGTGATGCAAAAAAGAATAAAATTATTACTGTCCTCAGAGATCTTACAATCTATTAGACAGTACAAAGTAAACATGTAAGTGCAATAAGATGTTACAAGGGCTATAAAGTTAACATACCAAACTTACATAAGCGTAATAAAATAGGAAGATGTGGATTTTTGTTAACATTATAAAATATATCCTCTCAACCATAAAGCCAAAGTCATGTTTAATTAACTTAAACTGAAACAAAAAAGGCATGAGGCTACTTGTCTATCACAAAGAGAGTTAAGACCATCTAGAGCAAGGGAGAGCAAGGGTCAGCAAACCACAACACATAGGCTGGCCTCCTATTTTTGTAAATAAAATGTTACTGGAACATAGTTATATTCATTTACCTCAGCTACGAGGGCAGAGTTGTATAGTTTCCACAGAGGCTATAATGGCCTTCAAGCCTAAAATATTTATTATCTGGCACCTTATAAATTTAAGAGACTAGGTAGGATTTATCCCAGGAATAGATAGTTCAATATTGGGAAATTTATTAGAAAGTCTCTAAACTGCTACACTAGAGAAGATAAAATATATAATTTTACTGACAGGTATTAAAAAAGGATATGAGAGCCTGGCCAGTGTGATTCAGTGGATTGAGCATCGTCCCACAGACTGAGAGGTCCCAGTTCAATTCCTGGCACATGCCCAAGTTTTGGGCTCGATCCCCAGTGGGGGGTCGTGCAGAAGGCAGCCAATCCATGTTTCTCTCTCACATCGATGTTTCTCTCTCTCTCCCCCTAAAAAAAAAAAAAAAAAATCAATAAAAACATATTTTTTAAAGGATATGATAAAAATGTTCCCAGTTTATGAAAATAATCTTCACAAGCCAAAAATCCTAACTTGATTAAAAACAAAAACAAAAACCAACTATTTCATAATACAAGAGGAAACAGTCAAACACTGGAAGCACTCCCATTAAAAATGGAAAAGATTTTGGCTAGCAATTATATTCAAAATTGTAATTACTAGAAGTCCTGTCCATTGCAATAAGAGAAGGGAAAAAAATGGAGACATACATACCGAGTAATCAGGGACAAACTCCATTTGAAGAGTAGATGATTGTCTAACTGGGAAAATCTAAGAATCATCTAAAAACCTCATGGACTTGGTAAGAGTTCTATAAATTGACATACAGTCATGTGCTGCATAATGATGTTTCCATCAATGACTGACAACATAGACAACAGTGATCCCATAACATTATAATGGAGCTGAAAAATTCTTATCACCAAGTGACACTGTAGCCATTATAACGTTGTAGTGCAACACACATTGCTCATGTGTTTGTGATGACGCAGGTGTAAACAAACCTATTGTATTGCCAGTCATATAAAAATATAGCACATATAATTATGTACAGTACATAATACTTGATAATGATAATAAACTACTATGTTACTGGCTTATGTATTTACTATACTATACCTTTATTGTTATTTTAGAGTGTACTCTACTTATTAAAAAAAGTTTTCTGTAAAACAGTATGCCATGTTATGCTGGCAGCAGCCTCATACATTTCACGTTTACAGTGACTCTTGACTGAATCATTTTCTCTTGTGCTTGGTTAATCTCAGGTTTTATACAGTAATATTCTGTACAGACTTGTAGCCTAGGAGCAATAGGCTATACCACCTAGCGTACACGTGTAGTTTTGTGTAAGTACACTACATGATGTTCACACAATGATAAAATCACCTTATGAGACATTTCTCAGTCATAAAGAGGCATATAACTATAAAGTCAAACAGATTAGTCCATACTTTCCTATATAACACAATAGCCAATAAGAAAATATAATGAAAAAATATTCATACCACTCTCAATAGCTACATGTAAGAATAACATTACAAAAAATGTATAAGAATTACAATAATAAAACTGTAGTGAAGGGCCTATGAGAACAATTAAATAAATGAAAGACTAATGGTTGAAAAGTCATTCTCTCCAAAGTAATCTAAAAGTGTAATATAATCACAATAAAAATACCTAACACACACTCCTTTAGGGACATTGACAACATGGTTTTAAAATGCACATGAAAGAGAAAATGCTCAAGAATAGCTGGAGAACCTGAAAAAGGTACTTATTTTTCTGGATATACATTAACCTGTTAACCGAGCTGGATGTATAAATACATCAAATGTTGCATACAGTGAAAAGGGAATTCCCCGGTTAACAGGTTAAAAGGGTTTATATAGTGCTGCCTGACATTGTCTTCTCTGTTTACTCTTAAGGAACACTCTAAGAAAGGTATAAGAAATCTGATGTTATATTTTTCACAGAGTTCTTTTGTGAATGTTTTTCTTATCTCCATGAAAGCCCATTATAAATATTTTCTTCAGAGAACTGTACCAGGAAAAGCTTTACTTATCTGGGGAACTATTTTGCTTTATCCTTATAGACAATGCCAATATTTTAAGTGGTTGGTTATCCATTTTCTATGATGGCCAAAAATATTGGGTATACAAATGCAGCTCAAATTTATTCCAACTATGTGCAAACTCTGTGACTTGATTATCAACTTAACCATTTTCTAAATTTCCTTTTGGACATAACCTATTCAATCCACATTTTCCCTGACTATACATTTCCTTTTTCTACAGAGTTTTGAGAGATTTAAATGACTTGAATAAAGGGATGCCTTACCTGGAAGTTGATCATTATCTGCAACTCTTGCACAAAGATCTGTGAAAGTAAAAATGGGGAAGTGAATAGAAGGACATGAAAAACCAGGACTGCAATGCAGAACCCTGCTCTATCAGAACAGAAGCACCCACACTGCAGCCTCAAAGAAGGCCACCTACTGGGAGAATGTTTCCAGCAAGTCAGAAAGGCCCCTATTTTGTAAGCACCGATCCCTACTTGTGATTCTGTTATGAATATATATGGATGTTGTACATTTCTGTCCTACTGAATAACAGCAAGTTGTTAACCTTTGAACCAGTGACATGTTTTTCCCCCAGAAATGAAAATAATAACGAATGAGTTAAAAGACTAACTAAAAGCCTGGTGTCTGAAAGTCAGTATCTGGAAGTCATTCCTTCCTTTGATTCTCTGATCTCTGTTCTGAAGCCGGGGTAAGAGATCTCAAATTCGGTTGGCTTTATTAGATAAAGATTATTGATATAGATCCAGAGACCCAGGAACATTTTTTTTTAAAGCTGGAGACCTTCAGTTTAGACTCCAAATCTGTTCCCCTCTCTCTCTTCCTCTCTCTCTAGAAACTCACCATCTTGAGCGAAGTCTGGGCTTTTTCAAATTCCAACGAGTACTGCTGAGGCCCTAGAAAGGCTAAAATGTGCAAGAGGGACTCACAGCTTTATTTACACAATCTTCACTGGAAGATATGCAGATTCACCCCGACCCTTAAAAAAATGTCAACAGACATTTACTCACATTCACTGCTCAAATATTTCAAAAGAAGAATAAACCCAACTCTTTTTTTTTTTTTTTTTGTAGTGTGCTATCTTCCAAAAAAGAATGAAATGTGGAGAAAACTCATCTGGATTTGAATCTCAGTTTTTCCACTTACTAAGCTGTGTGAGTCTAGCCAAGTAACTTCACCTCTCTCAGCTTCAATTAAATGAAGATAAGTTACTCCAGGTGGTGGTTGTTGAGACTACCTTAAGAGAGGATAGCCGTTTCTCTAGAAATGCTTTCTTCCCCGATCTCTTGAAGTGGCTTAACGTTTCCTGTTGCAGGCTCTGGTAGGGCCAACGGTGCTCTTGTAACTAGGAAAGGTTCAGTTTGATGCACAGACTCCTGCACGGTGACCTTTACCAACGAAGGCAGGAATGCAAACAGCCTGCCCCAGCCCCACTCGGGATCTAGGAACCCACTGAGCGGCAGTAGAAGCCCTGCACTTGCTTTCTCTGAACTACTCCAGAATTGGAAAGGACACACAAACACAAAGTCAACGCGTGTGCGGGTTAAGTTTTATCTTCGGTTGCCTAAACCAATAAACCAGTCCGTCTTTCTCCCCGCCCTTCCCTTGTCCCGCAGAGTCGCACCTGTCAGCCTTTCGCCGCCACGCTCCCAGCTCGGCTCAGTTTACAGAGACCTCCCAGAGACTCCGGGAGCAACACCCACTGTCACTTAGCTACACAGGTTCGACAACTATACAGGGCTGGATACCGCCCCACTGCGCGTGTGCGGAAGTAACTGCCCACCTAGAGTTCCCAGGCTCCTCTGCGGTGTAGGCCATCCATCGAGACTACATTTCCCATAAGGCTAATGGAGCTAGTTTCTGGAAACCGTCTGATACTTCTCTCTCTTTGGGGGGAGATTACTGGGTTGGTATTTCTCGAGCCGCCTTGAGAGACATGCTCATATTTAATAGGCAGGTGTACATATCAATTTTGTTTACAAAGGCAGACATCAGAATTTTTAAATACTGGAAAATCTAGATCAGCTGGGAGTCACTTGGAGCCAACACAGTTGACTATGCTGTCAATTTAGCTTATTATTTGCAGGATTAATCCAAATTACAAACACATCAGCACACACACACACATACAAGTATTGAGGGTTAACGAATCAAAAGTCAGAATCCCAAATGTCCGCCAGTCCGGGCTACTCACAGAGCAGTAATGGCTAGTCACTTGGAGTTGAGAAAGGCTGGGTGTCCAGGGAGGTCCATGTCTTGCAAGAAAGACTGCTGAAGGTGTTCCAGATAGCAAGGCTCCAGAATAATCAACGGCCACCAAGCCAGACATGCGGTCAGCACGGCTCATTCGCGAGAGAGCTAATAACAAGTGTCACTGTTTATTTTCTTTTTTTTTTTTTATCCTCACCCGAGGACATTTTTCCATTTTTTGTTCAGATTGAATGGGAGGGAGAGAGAGGAAGAGAGAGAGAAGAGAGAAACATCGACGTGAAAGGGACACATCGAGTGGCTGCCACCTGCACGACCAACCAGGGCCGGGGACAAACCGCAACCGAGGTACACGCCCATAGTGGGAACCGAACCCTGGTCTCTCAGGACCGCAGGCCGATGCTCTAACCGCCGAGCCAAACCGGCCAGGGCTAGTTTCATTTTTTATCCTTGTGGAGGTGTATCTCTTCATCTGCACTTGTTAGATTTGCTTGTTGTCTCTGGAGATTAGTTCTAAAAATCCTAGCCACCACGGAGGTGCCTTGTCATCCCTATTGCTTGCCCCTCTTGGTTGCCTCCCTTGGCTGGCAGCCCAGAATTTGACTGTAGGCCCAGACTTGTGGGTGTTCAGACAATAAGTTCAAACTCAAAATGGGGTTAGTTAAACTAACTCTGTTCTCCACAAAGAGAAACCAACGAAGAAGACTGAGAATGAATAATCCGTGAGGTCAATAGAAAAGTAGGAGAGTTTAGATCTGAAAATCAAGATAAGAAAATGTTTCAAGAAGGAAGTGATCCACTGTGTTAAATGCTGCTGATAGGTCAACTAGGAATAGAACTAAGAATTGATCATGGAATTCAGCAATGTGGAAGTTGTAGAAACATGCTGTTTTGGCATAGGATGGGAGGAGAGGAAGTGGAGAAAGCAAATATAGGCAGTACTTTTAAGAAGTTTTGCTTTTTTAAGATGAGCAGAAAAGTAAAGCTGTCTTTGCATGTGGGTTATGGGTCCAGAATTTTGTTTAATTGATGGGGGCAGAGAGAAGCATAGATGTATTGTTCCACTTATTTATGCAATCATTGGTTGATTCCTATATGTGCCCTAACCAAGGATCCAGCTGCAGCCTTGACTTCAAAAGGAACTCTAACCAACTGAGCTATGGAACCAGGGCCAGAATTTTATTTAAGATGGAAGAAATTACAGTATGTTTGTATTCTAATAAAAATGACACAGTAGAGAGGGGGAAACTGACAATACAGGAGAGACGACAGCTGCATGAGAAAACTCCTTGAGGAGAGAAGGGATGGAATCCAGCACACAATCAGAAGGATCAGCGTTAATAATGTGGACAAATCATCCATTGAAATAAAAGGGGAGGCAAATTCATAGGTACAGATGCAGATGGGGGCACAGATTTGCTGGTTAGAGAATGAAGATGTACTCTTCTGAATGTTTCTATTTTGTCAGTGAAATAGAAAGCTGAAAGTGAAGACAGGAAGGTATTGGAGGTCAGAGGAGAGAAACTGTAGGAAATACTGTATTACATTGATTCTAATACACTTTCTTTCATATGTCAACATCTGTGAAGTTGCTATCTTACAAGTGGTGGCATACCATAATTTAAGTGGCAATTTTTTCTTTCATAGCAGTATGTAAAATAATGATACATCTTATAATCAATGACATCTGAGATTCTAATGTTAGAAATATGAAAGAGCGAATGGATTAAGAAATGTAGTATTGTTTCCTGCAGCATTAAGAGCCCACTTGAAATTAGTAGCCATTGACTTGAATGGCATTTTCGATGTCATGAAGACATTTTATATCTTATCTTTAAAGAATCCTTTCTTGACCTGTAACCCACTTGGGCATTGCTTTACTTCCTAGCTTTCTTTCATAGAAAAATGTCTCTAACAACTTGCTTCTTATTGCTGCCTACATTTTCTCACCTCCAATTTTCTACTCTGTGTACTCTAATTGGCTTCTTGATCCTAACTGCTCTCCTGAAACTGCTCTTGTCAAGTTATTGATGAAATTCCAGTTGAAAAATTAAACTGAATCCCTGTCCTTCTTATATGTGACCTGCCAAGCATTCAACAAAATTAAAATAAAATCTTCTTTATGAGGTTTCTGGAACATCTCACAAAAACTAGTTTCTCCCACTTCACTAAGACTATTTCTCTGTTTCTTTTACTGAATACCCTTCCTGTGTTCCACATCCAAATGTTAGAATACTTGAGGGTTTGGCCTTGGGCCTTTCTTTTTGCAGTTTTCCATGAGTTGATGTCATCTGATCCCATGGCTTTAAAAACCATCTATATGACAATGACTGACAAATCTTTATCTTCAGCCCTCACCTCTTCCCTCAACTTCAGACCCCTAATTCCTTATGCCCACCTGAAATCTCCCCCTGGATATCTAAAAGCCACTTCCGCCCTGGCCGGTTTGGCTCAGCGGTTAGAGCGTCGGCCTGCGGTCCTGAGAGACCCGGGTTCGGTTCCCGCTAAGGACGCAAACCTCGGTTGCAGTTTGTCCCCGGCCCTGGTCGGTTGTGCGGGTGGCAGCCACTCAATGTGTTCCTTTCACATCGATGTTTCTCTCTCTCTCTCTCTCTGTTCCTCTCTCCCTCCCACTCTACCTGAACAAAAAATGGAAAAATGTCCTCCGGTGAGGATAAAAAATAAATAAATTAATTAATTAATTAAAAGCCACTTCCAACTTCACATGTCCAAACCAAACTCTTAATTCCTCCCTCCACCCATCCCAACAAGCACTTCTCTTAGTTCAGTAAACACACCATCATCAACCTGGTTAATTAAGCAGAATTTTAGAAGTCATCCTTGATTTCTTTTGTTCCTTTTCCTTTCTATATTTTATAGTATACATGTTCTATGAGGGCATCTAGTTTTGTTTGTTTCTGTGATACTGTGATTGATAAGAAAATATATATTTGGTCCTGTTTCTGGTTCAGAGCTCCTAAAACTCTTGGAATTCCCTAAGTGATGAGAGTGATAATCATCTTGTAAGTTAATGACTTCACCTAAGGATGGGGGCTAGTTGTCAGGAGAATTAATCATGTGATTAGAGGGTTGAAACTTTCAGTTCCATCCCCCTGGCCTCTGGGGAAGGCAGAAAGGCTTGGGGGTGAATTAATCACCAATGGTCAATGATTTAATCAGCCATGCCTACATAATGAAGCCTCCACAAGAACCCAAAAGAATGGGGTTCGGAGGGCTTCCGGGCTGGTGAACACGTGGAAGTTCAGGAACAGTGGCGAGCCCCGAGAAGGGGGGCATGAAAGCTCTGTACCCTTTCCCCTATACCTTGCCCTTATTCGTCTCTTCTCTCTGGCTGTTCCTAAATTATATTCCTTATAATAAACTGATAATCTAGTAAGTACATTCTCTGAGTTCTGAGAGCCACTCTAGCAAATTAATTGAACATGAGGAGGGGGTCATTGGAACCTCCAATTTATAGCCTGTAGGTCAGAAGCACAGGTGACTATCTAGACTTGCAATTAGCATCTGAAGTGGAGAAGGGCAAACTTGTAGGACTGAGAACTTAACCTGTGGGATCTGATACTATCACCAGGTAGACAGTGTCAGAATTGAGCTGAATTGTAGGATACTTAGTTGGTGCCAGAGTTGGTTGGTGGTAGAGAAAAAAAATCACACATTGGAATTGGTGTGAGTATAATTTTAGTTTTGTTATGACCTTATCTCCAAAGCCTGGTACATAATAGGTGTTAAATAATTATTTGTGAATACTGAATAAATGTGAAACTGTCTATAGTTTCATCCTCATAAGTGCATTATGGAACTTGTCTGGCTCAGCATCTTGAATCTATAGATCAATTTAGAGAGAATGATATCTTAACAGTACTGAGTTTTCAATCCATGAACATGGTATCTCGTTTATTTAAGTCTGCTTTAATTTCTCTCAGCAATGTTTTCTCGTTTTTGGTGTAAAACACTTGCATATTTTTTGCTCAAAAATATCCCTAAGCGCCAGGATGGTGTGGCTCAGTGGTTGAACATCAACCCTTGACCAAGAGGTCGCTGGTTCAATTCCTGGTCAGGGCATATGCCCAGGTTATGGACTCAGTCCCCAGTGGGGGGCATGCAGGAGGCAGCCAGTTGATGGTCTCTCTCATTGATGTTTCTATCTCTCTCTCCCTTCCTCTCTCTCTCTAAAATCAATAAAGAAAACATTTAAAATATATATATATCCCTAAGTATTTCATATTTTTGATATTATAAATTGTATTTTAAATGTCCATTTCTGATTGTTTATTGAAACTGTAGAAATACAATTTTTTAACTTAATTTTTAAAAATAAATAAATTTATTTTTGTTACAGATGTTTCTCCTTTTTCCCCCCATTGACACCCTCCTCCCAATCCTCCCATCCCCCCCGCCCCATTCCCAGCTTTGTTGTCCATGTCCATTGGTTACGCATACATGCATATAAGTTCTGTGGTTTATCTCATCCCTCCCTCTACAATTTTTTTTTTATCCTCATCCGGGGACAT